GACGCAGCTGTATGGCAGATAACCTGATGTGTGATCAGTGGGGGCCGTCGCAGACACACAAACCTTGTCAGCTAAATAATACCTCACGCTGTATAATGTCCTGCAGGAGGCTGCTCATTCATAGAGGCTTTGTTCAAGGTTATTCATGTAAAGGTACTTTGTTATACATCTAATTGGGGGATAATGCGTCAAATCTGGAGATTCATTCCTTACAAATCTCAATGTCTAATCTATGTCTTATGGTTGATTAACTAGCTTTTTCAAAAGATCCGACAGTTGAAACATGCAGTTGAAAGCTTCAGATTAAGCTTCTTACATTTGAGTTTTATAATTAATTTACAGCAGCTGGGAATGAATGCTGGTAAAATAACCAATTAATTAATTAGGTTACTCCATCCACAGAAAGTTGTTAGTCAACAATTGATATTGTAATTTATTTCTAAGTTTAACCATCCATTGTTAGAATTTGTTCTGTGATCATTACCTTTGGGTTTTATTTAGTTGGACACATTTTCTGATGCTATAGCGTTAACAGTACTACTGTGACATTTATATCTGACAATGTCTATGTTCTGTTAAAAAGATATTACCATCAGTGAGATATATTGTATTCAAAGCATGGACAGAGATTTGAATAAATGAACACACACTGGCCACTTTTTTTAAATACATTCACACCTACAGTATTCTTCCCCCTAAATGCCACTAACTCGCACACAAAGGTACACAAACGTGTGCCCTTGCCTGGCTTTCTGCAGAAAAAGCCACACTCCTAAACAAATATGGAAGAGGTGACTGACAGTGAGTACGAAGAGTCTACTCAAACAGGACTAAGGCACTAAAAAACTGCATACACACAAACGGAAACCACACAAGTAGGGATGCCCCGCAGGCTGCCATTTCTGGCTGTCATTCCAGCTAAGCATCGAGGCAGAAGGACAGAGAGGGAGAGAGGCGGGTGGGGAAGGGTGGTGGGGGGGGGGTGACACAATGAAGGCTCACAGGGAGACAGGAAGCAGATGGTGCAGATGAGGCTGCGGTCTTTAATGAACTACTGCGCTGTCGAGGCGGAGAGGAGAGGAGAGGGAAAGGAAGAGGATAGGAGGCAATATACAGCAAAGCCATGAAATACCTCAATACTTCTGCCACTAAAAATACTTTCAACCCACCTGTATTACTAATGTTCAACACTCGTGAAATCCAAACTGTTCTCCAAATAAAATACAATCAGTCCCTTATTCACACACACATTCTGGATAGTTGTTTCTGAGCCATAATGCCTCTTTTCAAGAAAGGAAAAAGTTAAGTTAAGCCAAAGAAGCATGGAGGGAAGGGGAAGATGGAAAGAGTCTGTCACTCGGTAAATACATCGAAGCAGACAGGACAGTATTCATCTCAGGAATAGTTTGTCTGTGCAGAGTAAGGCCGCTGTGGTCTTCCACCAGCATGACAGAGCCAGCTGCCGGTGCACTGGCTGCCTGAAAGACTTTCTACACCTGTCGATCAAAGCCTGTTTGAACCTCGTCGGGTATAAGGTCAGACGACATGTTCATACATATAGGAACACAAAAAATCTCAACATATAGCAGAAACTGGGTCAATTAATTGTACTGGGGACATTCACAGCAAGCATTAAGGCCCCTTGCTGTTTCTGATGATACTTGGTTGTTCTTCGTCATTGCCATCATCTTTGCTGCTGTGGTAATGAGGTTTCCCTAATGGCAGGCCAGGGTCAGCTGAGGGTCAGCCAGCAGGGGAGTAAGACCCTCATAGTTAGCAACAACCGTCTCTCCTTGAAGCCACTGGTCTATCCCTGCCCTCCAAACATCATCTATCAAGGCAAGTGTTGGTTGAAACTGGAGACAAACATTCACCAAGAGATCTTTAAGGAGTCTGAGATACATTAAAATAAATAAAAACCTACCGGTATTTATTATCGGCAGCTGAATGTGTTATTCAAATACATTCTTAAGGAACGCACAAAACCATTAGCACCTCCAAAGCTGATAATGTATGCAAGATGAATTGCTGTTTACAATTTAAAGTGGACCTATCATGCTATATTTGAATAATATAGTGTAGGACCATACCTATATAAGGCATATTTATACTTTTTTTTTTTCAAAATACCAAACAGATCATGCATTTTAGCCATGCCTCATTTTGCTCAATTTGACATTTTTTAGCTCTGTTTTTGCAAGGGCAGATTCAGTGAGAACAGCACCATCTACAGGCCTGGCATATGTACTACAGCGTCTCCAGCGCTTTCGAACGGCAATGGCCGTGGCTGTCTCCTCCTGATTGGTGGAGTTGGCCCAATAGCCGTAGCGCCACTGTCCTGACATCAGGACAGTGTTCAAATCTGGATCAGTTTTTATCAGATCCGTTGCAGCCCGTTTTTTTAGAGATTTGGGTATGGAGGAAAATAGAGAGGGTTGTGTTTTCTGACACTTGGTGAGTTCCCTGGAACACCGGGGACACATATTCAGGTATAAAAGACATACAAAAGTGCATTTTGCATGATCGGTCCCCTTTAAGCAATAAAGGATATTAACCAATACGCAGGCTTTACTGTTTCACATCCATCACTGCACAATACATCAGGTTATTTTTCATACATGTTCAAATGAAAAGAATCTCTCTGATGTTGTTTTTTAACTTTCATATTATGTCTGTCCACCAGGAACGCTCATATTTTGCACTCCTTTAAAGGGGACCTATCATGCAAAATGCACTTTTGTACGTCTTTTATACCTGAATATGTGTCCCCGGTGTTCCAGGGAACTCACCAAGTGTCAGAAAACACAACCCTCTCTATTTTCCTCCATACCCAAATCTCTAAAAAAGAGGCTGCAACGGATCTGATCAAAACTGATCCAGATTTGAACACTGTCCTGACGTCAGGACGGTGGCGCTACGGCTATTGGACCAACTCCACCAATCAGGAGGAGACAGCCACGGCCATTGCCGTTCGAAAGCGCTGGAGACTCTGTAGTACATATGCCAGGCCAGTAGATGGTGCTGTTCTCACAGAATCAGCCCTTGCAAAAACAGGGCTAAAAAAGTGCAAATTGAGCGAAATGAGGCATGGCTAAAATGCATGATCTGTTTGGTATTTTGAAAAAAAAAAAAGTATAAATATGCCTTATATAGGTATGGTCCTACACTATATTATTAAAATATAGCATGATAGGTCCACTTTAATACTTTTTAATCTTCTGATATTTTCTTGAATAACCATCATTAATTCAATTATCGATTGAATATAATGTACTTTTTATTCAACTAATGAGTCAAATACATGATTTACTTAAAGTATTTATGCCGCACACAGCACCTCCATGATAAAACTGTCCTTTTTATATTTTATAAATGAGTAATAAATTATACTTATAGTTATTAATGTAAGCAACAGAAGATTGAGAAAAGTGCTTAAAATGTACAACTCCTATGTGTTTAAAAAAAAAAAGTTGTATTTAAGGTAAAAATAAAACGGATATAAAAAGGATTGGTCTTATAGTATGAAGATGTTTGTCGGGAGAACCCCAACTGAGATGTAAGCATTTGGACTTTGCAGGGTGTTTTAAAATCACATGTATTAGATCAAACTTTTCTGAAGAGGGCAGACGATGGAAAGAAAGGAAGGAGAGAGAAAACAGAGAAACGGAGTGAAGACAGGAATTATGAGAATGTGACAAAGGATCGATAGAGAAGAAACCAGAGCACTCTGTGTGTACATTACTTTAACATCTATGTTTCTGAGCCGACATCACACACGGTCCAAAGAAACTAAAGTGAGGCATGAGACCAGATGACTGCAGGGCGATTTCATCTGGATAACAACAACCATACTTCTATGGCTAACGTCAAAATAACATCTCTCTGCTCTTCTAAAGTTCATGCTCTTACAAAATCCTTTATTCCACAAACCCTATTAAGGCGAAGGTAGACCATTAACACATGTGATATGTGCTGCAAAAATATAGTTCATCATATCAGGTGATATAGGACATTCAGTCAGCACCACATCAAACACAAGTCCAACATTCCTACTCTTTGTGGAAAGCACAAATGCCATTAGCTCCAGTAAAAAAGTGAACATTATATCAAGATGTAAAATGTTCCTTCTCTGGAGGTGCTCAGAAGAAAAAATAATGTCTGTCATGAAAATAATCAAGGGAAGGTTAAATGAATAAACGCCCCACTTTGACCGTTTACGTTCCTGCAAATAGACAGAAAATGGAACTTGTGGTCCAAAGCTATGACCTCTGAAGTGTGCATGTGTGTATGAACTCAAAGATACTGTCAAACCTCTCTTATGCACGCAGCTCACAATCATTCTAGGCTGAGGTCCCACTGCTAACTTCAAGTCAACAAACACACATGGAACTAAGCAGAAAGAGAAGAGAGGCCAGCGGTTATTATGCTTGGACCGAAGTCCTGTTCTGTTGTACTCTGAAGTGTCGACTGGGCCTGGTTACAGACACAAGGTGGACCACAAAACGTCTCTTTAATTGGACTGAAGTGAAACGTAGTCCAGATGGCTTTAATAGACAGTAATGGCTTGAGGGACACATTGTGATTTTGTCTGTTTCCAGCTCGCTCATTCCCACACCTCTTTCCTTTACTCTCTCACACTGCTAGTTCCCATTATTCAACCGCTATGGTCTCATCACTATTCAATCAGTGAATTTCTATATTGTGACTGTCTCAACCTCACTTACACCCATCGTTTCATACCTCTCTCACACTTGGCAGCCTGAACCTTGGCATTAAGGCTTTACAAATTACCCTCGTAAGTAATATTTCAAGGATCGTTGTTATTTGAACGTCTTTTAAAATGTTTGACAAGTTAGGAAAGAGAAAGATATATTGAGAAAATGCATTGCTGTAGGGCTGCACCATTTAGAAAAAAATAAGATATTGCATATCATGCCCACTTGTTTTATTCAGGGTAACTGCGGCAGGTTTTTAATCGTGCTCTGGATGAAGGACCTTACCAGTAAGACACGTCCAGGGGGTGAAAGCAGCGCCTAGAGATGAGGTCAGCGAAGACGGACTCAGTCTCACGACACGCTGTCCCGTTGCCAATGACAACATTAGTACAGCTAGTACAGACAAGTGGAAAAGGACAATGAGGATTAGGAAACCAAAAACGTAAACAGATTCTAAAATAAGGTTAATTTTAAAATGATCTTTCCTTATTTAGAATATCAGGTCATTCATCAGAAAACAGTCAGGATGATTTTGAGTTATTTCTACTGCTACATAAATGGAATGGAAATGTTATTGCTATAACATTCCTATAACAGGAATGTTATAGCAATATAACATTAATCAACACGACACAAACTCAGCTAAGACAGTATATTTGTAACAGTCACCACTAAAACACAAGCAGCAGTACCTGTATGTCATCATTAGGTGGCGCAGTTTGTCCACTTCTCTTTGCTGGCCTGTATTATGCAGGTAGACAACATCAGTATGGATAATCTGGCCTGAGAGCAGGGAGATGAAGGAAAACACAGGGAAAGAGAAAATTCAATGTTGATGATAAATGTATATTATGACTAGAGGGGGCTTACATCTACATGCTACCACTGGCTCAGATAATGAAAAACAACTAAATAAGTTACCATAGCTATGCGGATGACACAGACATTTACATAACCATTTCACCAGGAGACTATGCTCCAATTCAAACACTGAGTAAGTGCATTGAAGCAATCAATGACTGGATGTGTCAGAACTTTCTCCAATTAAACAAAGATAAAACTGAGGTAATGGTTTTTGGAGCCAAGGCAGAACGTATAAAAGTTAGCGCTGAGCTTTAGTCTGCAATGTTCAAAACAACAGATAAAGCCAGAAATCTAGGTGTAGTCATGGACTCTGACCTGAGTTTCAACAGTTACATTAAAACAATTACTACATCAGCCTACTATCACCTAAAGAACATATCTAGGATTAAAGGACTAATGTCACAGCAGGATTTGGAAAAACTTGTCCATGCTTTTATCTTCAGCAGACTCGACTACTGTAATGGTGTCTTCACAGGTCTCACTAAAAAATCCATTAGAAAGCTGCAGCTGATTCAGAACGCCGCTGCTCGAGTCCTTACCAACACTAAGAAAGTGGATCACATCACTTCTGTTCTGAAGTCCTTACACTGGCTTCCTGTGTGTCAAAGAATAGATTTCAAAATACTGCTGCTGGTTTATAAAGCACTGAATGGTTTAGGCCCAAAATACATGTCTGACCTACTGCTAAATTATGAACCATCCAGAACTCTCAGGTCTTCAGGGACTGGTCAGCTTTCTGTCCCCAGAGTCAGAACTAAACATGGAGAAGCAGCGTTCAGTTGTTATGCTCCAAATATCTGGAACAAACTCCCAGAAACCTGCAGGTCCGCTGCAACTCTTACTACTTTTAAATCCAGGCTGAAGACTTTTCTTTTTGCCGCTGCTTTTAATTGAACTATTCATATCTTAAACTGCACTGTAACTTTTATCCATGTATTTTTTCTTTTAATGTTTATTTTATTATCTTTGCTTTTTAATGACTGTTTTTAAATGCCATTTTCTTAATGTCTTTCATTTTTATAAAGCACTTTGAATTGCCTTGTGTTGAAAGGTGCTATATAAATAAACTTGCCTTGCCTTGCCTTGCCATTAAAGTATTAACTTGTATATTATAAGAGAATGTCTCCACACTGTATGCTTTCAAACAAAGCAGCATTATCCTAACCAAATCAAATGTTTTATGAACACAACATCTCAGAGTAGAAGTGTAGCTCTGAATAGAAGTCATGTGAGCACTCCTGTGGTTCCTATACCTGTGTCTGTCTGTTGTAAGTGTCAAGATTAAAAAACTTTAATGTCCCTGTGGGGCAATTTGTCAGCGTGACTTGTAGCCACATAATCAGTCACCCAGAGGGAGGGACCTACCCTAGCGCAGTGTGAGGCCACACCCACTGAGACACACTGTATATTAAAGCAGAACCACAAAAACAGACGTAGACATAAGCACGCTAACACAAAGTCTACCCACCAGGGTTATGCCAACTGGCATCTAGTCTCTAGCATGCACATGCACACTCACACTGTTAGCCATGAATTCACGATGGCAGTTTAGTTTGCATAGAGTGATAGAGTAGATCATCCTTGAATATGTGACTACAATTACAGAAATATACTGTTGGTGAAAAACGATAGCAGTGTGTGCTGATTGAATGCATCAACGACCAATTGCATGTATGAATGGAAGAGAACACTAATCAGGAGAAAGTAGTAGAGCGTAATTTGTGTTAGTGAAACATATCTCAAGCCCATGATCTCATTGAGCTGCACTTTATATAACTCTTTCACCCCAGTGGCACAGGATACACCTGTGTTTGCTGTCGACCACAATGGATCAACATGAATCATCCAATCTGACACGTAGCCTCTCACCGCTGCCATCCCAGGATGTTATGCCCTGTGATGCCTACAGCTTTATAAAAGCAGTGTAATAAAGACGATGGTCATGGGAGATAGGTATGGTGTTATGAGAAAGAGAGATCAAACTGCTTTGGAGGCAAAAGTAGGTGGTAATATATATTTAGTGGTCACTTACCCGTGGGGGAGAGAACTGCCAGCTTACAGCCATGTCTAAAGCCAGGGTCCACCCCCAAGATGACACAGCCGCGGACTGGACCCACCAACAGGCAGCGGCGGAGGTTACTCACAAACATGGCGATCGACTCCTTCTCTGCTGCACTTGACAGCTTAGTCCTAAAGAGAGGCGAAGCAGGAAAGACGGGGATAGGGGTAAACATTGGCAGAGGAGCCGAAGAAAATATGTTTTACAAAAGAGGTCAAAAAAGAAAGATTGTTTTGAGAGAGAAAGAAGAAAAATATAGAAAAAGTCAAAGAAAAGATGGGGTTGGGGAGACAGACAGGGGACACAGTGTAAATTAATAAGGGGTTATCAAAAATAAAAAACCCTATAAAAAGCATAAACACACATTAAAAGTAACACTTCAAATACCTGTAATTTCTAGTTAGGAAGGGCAGAATAAGCCTTTTGTAAGAGTCATCAATCGCACTCCTGACGATCGCCCAATGCTCTTCTGTAGCAAACGTTTTCGGTCTCCACCTGCAATAAATCAGTGGAACAAACGTTTTTTTAATTAATAAATGCAATATATAAAAGTCATTGTGACATCCTCTAATCTGTAAATCAACTACCTCCCTCTCAGGGTTAAAATATTTTTCCAAATCCCGTAAGTAAGAACCCATAAGAGTCCGGCAGTGGCTCAGTCAGTAGGGGCTTGGACTGTGAGCCGTAGGGTCGCCGGTTCAAGTCCCTGACCAGACCTAAATATGGAGAGGTTCACCTCCTGCCCTGCTGTGGTGCCCTTGAGCAAGGCACCGGACACCCCCCTTCCCCCCTCACTCCCATTGCTCCCCGGGCGCTGTACAATAGCTGCCCACTGCTCCTAGCACTAGACTCCTGGTACTAGGATGGGTTAAATGCAGAGAACACATGTCACTGTGTGTGCTGTGTGCTCTGCATGTATGACCATTAAAGAGGGTTTCATCCCTCCCAATTCTATTCTATAACCCACACATATAAAACAGTTCGTATTATATTTTCAAGCAAGGATTTAAGTTTTAGTGTTAAATGTACAGACCATTCATATCACAGCCTGATTAAATAGTAAGTGTGATTTCTATTTCATTATTTGACCTCTATCTGTACAAAATAAGTTCACTGAGGACCTGTATGTCAGCATAGGCCTGCTTAAATGTTTCACTTATTTAATGTAGTCACAATAAGTAGTAGTGTAGTTACCAATGCAAAAATGCTAAAATCGAGAAAATGTAAACTAAAATGATCAAGCATTCATGTGTAGCAATACAATCTCTTTTTCCTAATAATCTATTTCTTTCTCACTATTTCGCTGAGGTATATGCTGTACTCAATTGTATCTAAAAAATATAAGTTCAAGGTTCAAGGTTCTTTATTGTCAAACTAACATAGCTACAGAGTAATTATGTCGTTGAAAAGTTGTTGTTAGCAGCCTTCATAGATGTCTGGTTGGAGGTAGTTTCATCTTCAGTATATCTCCAGCATTTCAGCATAGTGTGTGAGCATGTGTGTAAGTGCATGCTTGTCTGAGTGTTGTGCCGTTTGTGTTTCTGACCTGTTGTCGATGCACCACCTCGTGAAATCATTCTTCACCCTGTCGGGAATGTTCACCTTCACTGTCAAAATCTTCAGACTCTCCCCTCGGTTAATAGCCAGGGTCTGTACACATTCAAAACACACACAAAACATACAGACATATTAACCCTGTTTAAGGCAATACTATAAACTGTTTAAATGAATGTATGTTCATGAACACAGAGAGGAAATATGCTCTAAAAAGCTCCACAACTTACACACTAAAAACATTTTGAAAAGCCACCTCCACACAGTGAGTGGATGACTGTAGGTTCATTTTTAAATAAATGTGCATTTGAACTCAGATAAGTTAAGCTCCTGTTATTGTATTCATTTTCAGTGTTACTAAATATAAGTAACATTTAAGGAACATATCATTTCACACAGCCAAAATCATAAAAAATGTAAAGGTGTAGTTCCCTTTTAAAAATGTGTAACTGTTTACATTTGGAATCACCTTAGGACTTTTGGGGGAAAAGGGAAGAAAATGTCTTGAATTGGGTTACTTTATAAATATTGTATATGTATTTAAAAATGTATCTTCACAAAAACATCCACTTAAAAACAACACAAGAAAACAAAACCGTAACTCTTCACAGACACGCGTGTAAAAGTGATGAGCCTGGCAGTGTATCCTGTGGCGGTGGCCTGTTGTGTTGTGTGCTGCTCCCCCCTCGGAGGAACTGTTACATGCTGTTAAGCAAACTGTAGTAAGTGTCTGACCTTTTCAGCGGGGAACCTTTAGCCCGCCACCGAACAGGGCCAAGAAACAAGACGTCAATCTGGAAACCAAGCGGAAGAAGCAAGCTGACAAATGCCACCACTACGCCACCATCAGCGCTGAGACCGCAAGGCCTACCCCCCCCCCACCCACAGCCACACACGTGGTGCCACAACCATTACCACTCAGCAGCACCCTCGGATGTGTATGAAAATACAAATCTAAAAACACAGCTAATGGCATGGCAGAGAATTAATGCAGCGAGTTTGCTTGAATTATGATGAAAGTTAGATTTCTCTTCTGGTGGCATGTTTCTCCCCTGGGCTGCCGCACGAACTGTGATGACATTTCTCAAACAATCTTCATCAAAGCTCTGAAGTTTAACATGTTTACGGAAGAAAGCAAAACACTTCTTTCTGAGTGATGAATGCAGAACAGCCTTGCTAAATATGTGTTCTTAGGGTTTGAAGTTTGATCATTTTGTATAATGAAGAACCACATACAGCCTTTACATGACATGTCATACATTACAGGCTGATTTCTACATAGATTACACCTTGATGCGTCATCTGCTTGTTGAATGTGGGGAAGAATACATTTTCAAAAGCACAGTTTGAGTTTCATTAACTTAAAACAAGGAAATTATTGATAAACCAAAGTTCGGGGCATTCAGAAAAAATTATGGAGGAACAATGACCGAGTCTTTTACCAAGAACTGATTTATTTTTGGTAACCAGACTTAAGGTAAGCACTGGGAGACAACAGAAGCCATACAGACAAACATGACTGTCTATACACAATGCTTTCACGCATTGATAAAAGACAATTTAGTTTTCTTTGTCCTTATAATGATGCAAGCTCTATGTATCAGATGTTTAACATGTGCCAAAGCCCCTGGTGTCCATGTGTTGCCTGCATTCATTAACATAAATTATCAGGCAACACATTGCTGTAAATCTACTAAATCAAATGTATGCTTCCTAGATTCCTATTATTTAACTAATACAAACTAAAACATTGTTCTCTCTTGCCTGGTTCTCAAACCCTGACTGCTTCCAAAAGTTGTGTTTAATCTGTGTCCTTGCTGTGCTTTCCTTGGTAGCTAGCCTCAGTCCCCGCTGATGACAAATAACCTAGAGAGTCTCTCTGTTCGTCTCTCACTTTCTGCCTGGGTCGGGTCACTGGTGGGAGACAGAGGGTGATCCGAGAGGAAGGGTGATGTGAGACAGAGTGAGAAGCATGTGTTTGTGTGTTAGACGGGCCACGAGTGACATGTGGCCGAGTGCTGGCCAAACCCTGACGAGAGCAGACAGAGCGTCTCTCCTCAGTCCCGCCACCGGCCCCCCGAGGGAGGGCAGTCAGCCAACGTCCTCTCTATCTGTCTCCTGCTCTCTCTCAACATTTCTTAGAGGACTACGATCATCATCAACACATCCAACCATCCGACATATCAAGGATAAAGAAAAAAACAGATACACAGACTCACAGCACACTTTCTGACCTGGCTGACACTCATGGGACACACTGTATAATAACAGGCTAACAGAGCTGTCAGCAGACGGCCTTTTATTCCTTAAAAACATGTCATTCTTAAATGTACTAGTGCTAGGGTTAAAAACAAAAGGCAAGATAAGCATATAATGTTCCTGATAAACAATGATAGTACAACTAGTGGAGCATATGGAATGCAAGCTACTTTTATTGAATGTTATCCTTTAGACGTTAGTATGATTCCTGGTTAATATTGACTTTCTAAACATAAATGAAGATACGTCTACATGAAGGATCATGGCCCAGCATGATACACGGGTCTTTTACACAAACACACAGGCTGCTCAGGGAGGACTCTGCCCTCCTTTACACTCCCTTTTTCTATCCAAAAACAAACACAACACAGCAGGGAGTCTGACGGTCGAACATGGAACAACAAACTTCAGCTCAGAATGAGGAGAGGAAGGACAAGCATCTCAATAACCAAACCGTAAGTTTAAAATGTGACTTATCAAATGTGTTAAAGGTCACCTATCATGCAAAATCCACTTTTTCATGTCTTTTATACATCAACATGTGTCCCCCCCCCCTCTGTGTAAAGAGATTCTGAAAGTTTCAGGAAAAAAGATTCGTTCACTTTTTGTCCCGATCCATTTATATAAAAACCTGTCTGAAAATGAGCTGATCAGATTTTGGCCACTTTATGATGTCATAACGATTTTTTGGCTTGTGTAACCATTAGCCAATCACCAACCAAGGTAACCCCCCCCCCCCCTTATCACCTGAATCTCCTCCTAGAGCACCATTGTGTTCTTTTTAACCAAACATCTCTCAGAGGGGCGTGGGGAGGGGCTCCTTATTTTCATCTAAAGTAACAGACACAGAATCAGTACTTTTGAAACAGGGCTGAAACAGAGGGGATTATGGGATGCTGCAATGATCTGTTTGGTGTTTGGAGCCAAACACTTCAGAGACATGTTTTGTATATATCTGAGACCTATAATATATTGATGAAAAACAGTATAATAGGGGACCTTTAATATCTGTTTCAGTATCTCAGTTTTTAAAATGTATATTACTAAGTACAAAAAAGAAAGCAGACCAATGTGTACTCTTTTGTTAACCTCCACAGCATTAAGACCAATACAGACATTGACACATTCTTTAACATGTTTTTCTCCACCTGTCCATCAAAAATAAGTGTTAAATTGATTAAACATTTCCATTTATCTAAGCTCCTCTGCAGGCGAGCCCCACTCTAAAGCGCTAAACTACCATTTGATCACAACGCAAATCAAATTAAAAATAGCCCACTCATTCAACAAATCCACCCTGGCATAATCGAGAGCGTCCCGGCTGCTAATAGCTATGAGGTGAATGTGGACCCTCTGAAGAAGAAGACTTCAAATCAAATCTGACGGAATTCAATCTGAGCTAAGCATCTCGACTAGATATGTCAAATGGATTTAAGTCTTGCTGTATACCAGAGATTGGTAAAGACTCATTTAGATAAATGTATGAAATAGTTAGATCATTATACTAAAGTCATACATCTGTGGTATTATTAGATTTCATGACTCTAACAATTATATTTTAGGAGTTCAATAATTTATCTAATCTGACAGTAAATTACTCGATTTAAACTTTATTGGCTACTATTTTTACTAATACATTAAAACAAATATTTTGTAAGCAAAAATGCCAAACATTTGCTTATTCCTGCTTATAAACTGTGAGACTTTGCCTGTTTCATTGTCTTATTTAATTGTAAGGTTTGTTTTTTGTTTTTCAAATATAAGTTGGACAAAACAAGAAAATTGGCAAATTTATTGAGAATAAAAAAATTAAGGAAATACAAAATAATAAAAGCTGCCTCCTTCTTTACACCCAGAATGCATATAAGGCAGACAATAAGTACCTGAAGTTAAATTACTCTCTTTTTAGGATTACTAATGTCTCAATACAACATATTTGTCTTTGTAAGACTTATCATAAATCATTTACAAGTTACAATACCACAATTTAGAATTTATTTAATTTATCATTCCAAGATTTTTTTGACATAAGGTATATGAAATATGAATTCTTATCTAACCTTTTTTTTCAGTCACTACAGGCTACTGGTCATATCTGACGGGGGGACTTTGCATGTTCACTGGACCAACTCTAAATGTTTGCTTTTTGCCCACTTCACAAATGCCTCGTGCTTTCTCGTTAACAAACCACCAGTAGTGAGGCTTAATAAAATGTGCCAAAGCGAACGGGCAAGTGTGTGCTCACACACATGCCTCCTGTCAAAACACATCTCCCACCTGCCCCCCCTTCATGACAGCTTGACGGCTAGAAAAGGTTCATTTTAGCCGGAATCCGACAGCTAGCAGGTCACAGCAGCCTGTGGATTAACGCTCCATGACAAAGGCAAGTCATGAATTAAAGGTCTCTCATAAACAGAGCAGGAGAGGGGAAGAGGGGAAGAGGGGAGGTGTGGAGTGGATTGGAGGGCTGAGGTTTAGTCAGAGAGAAGGGAGGGAGGGAGGTCAGAGCCAAGCAGAGATAAGTGACGGACGCACCTCAACGTCACTCATCTGTTCAGCCTCTCCCTCCCGTTGCCACCCCCTCTCCCCATCCCTCCGTCCGCCTTTAGGCCCAGCAGCAGTAGCTGTCACTACAGAAGAGCGCCTGTCAATCAAAGCCTCCTAATCCAATGGCATGTCGGCAGGGGACATGTCACATATGTTAAGAGGAGAGAATGAGGGGACTTGCAGGGTGTGCTTGTTTGTGAGCAAGTGTGCGTGCTTGCATGTATGTTTATGTGTTTGTATGACTGTAGGGCAGAAAGGGGTTGCCAGAGAGTGTGATGTGGCAGAGAGGCAGCGGCTGATGGAAGCTGTGGTGACACATGAGGCCCGGGACCAACTCTGAGTAACACACTAGTCACTAGAGGGACGGGGGGGGAGTAGAGGAGGCAGAGCAGGGCACAGGAGGGGGAAATATGGAGGCACAGACAAGGCTAACTGTGACTGACATGGCTAGCATTCAAAAGCAGCACAGATGAAGCAGACAGAAATGACACAAACACAAACAGATGGTGCGCATTTGTTTGTATATGTGTGTGTGTGCAGATGAAGACACTAAGTATAGTCCAGCATACACAAATAATTTGTATATTGCTAAAATAATCATCATGCAATACATTTTTCTTAAGGCTGTGTAGTACTTTTATGTGTGTTATACCATAATGCTGTTGCTTTGTTCTTGAAGGTGTTTTAGGTGTTTTTTAACTTTAAGTTTCTATATGTAAAATGAGCCAAAGGGTAGGGAGAAACTTTTCCGACAAGAACACCAGTGCTAACCATTTAGCTAGATAATAATATCCCAACTGCTCTAGTGTATTTCAACGACGAAGAGTAGCAGAAAACAGGGAAGGAGGGAAAAAGGGAACCATAAACAGGTCTGTGTTTCTACCTGATGGGGCTGGATGCGTTGGATGTTGGAGGTGAAGTCAAGGTATAGGTGGAACTTGTCAATGTCCATTTTTTTGTTTTGCTTGGCCCCTGGTTTTTTGTGGTCTTGGACCTTCTCCTTAAGTGCAGACTTGGACACAGACGACTGGATGGTCACAAAGTTGTTCTCACACCTGTCACAGCAAGAGGTAAACACAGAGAGGGAGAGAAAGTAGGAGGGCACTGGATTATTATCAATGTGGCAGGTTCAATACACTACCAATGTCAAAATAACACAGACAACTATGGAAATGAAACATCACTATAGAAATGGTGTGTGCATGTAGGTAGGTTCTCACAATGTTTTCACATAGGCGAGGGTCTCAGGGTCTTTGGCCATCAAATCTGCTAAGATATGCCCCACACCTGTAGACACTTCTTCCACCGATGACAGACCTGACACACAAATACACATACTTTACTTAAAAACAGTACACTAAAGAGCAAATGTGAGACTATGGGTGTTTCTCAATCGCAAGTACGCTTGCTTGGTAGCACATGTCTGCCGAGCATTTTGCTTCAGAAGCGAGGCAAGAATACTTCCTGGCATTCGGAAAACGAAGAGTCAAATCAAATCAAATCAAATCAAATCAAATCAGGTTTTATTTATAAAGCACATTTAAAAGCGATTTTTGGTCGAGCCAAAGTGCTGTACATGTAATAAAAAACACATCACTACAAAACACAATAAACGACAATAAATTACAACAGATATAACTTAAAAAACAAAATAAGAATAGAACACACGGAAAAGTCAGGAGTCGTGCTCCGCTCTAATTAGAAAGCCAGAGAGAAGAAGTGTGTTTTTAATGTGGATTTAAAAACCCCTACGGTCTGGGCCGACCTCACATGGAGGGGCAAAGTGTTCCAGAGCCTAGGGCCAGCTGCTGCGAAGGCTCGGTGCCCTCTAGTTTTTAGCCTGGTCTTGGGCACTACCAGCAACAGCTGGTCAGCAGACCTTAAAGCTCTGGCTGGGGTGTAGCGCTGGAGCAGTTCAGTTATATAGGCTGGAGCCAGCCCATTTAGGGCTTTAAAAACAAATAAAAGGACTTTAAAATCAATTCTGAACCGAACTGGAAGCCAGTGTAGTGAAGCCAGAATAAGGGTGATGTGGTCGCGCTTTTTGTGGCCAGTCAGCAAATGTGCAGCAGCGTTTTGGACTAGCTGTAAGCGTTTGATTGAGGCCTGGTCCATACCCACATACAGAGCGTGGAACAGGCGAGCAAGTGTGCAGGTGTGCGTCATATGAGAGGCCCCGCCTTACATTTTCCGCCACAGATTTGGGGAAATTGGTCCGTGCGCAAAGCATTGTGGAGATTTGTGCAGCCTCGAAATTTCTCCCAACGAAGTATGCCGGGCTCGGTAGATTTCCAAGTATGCTGGACATTGGAACAGTACTTCGGCGGCACTCGATGACGTAGTATGCTTGAAATAGTGGCTCTGGAGCAGCTTTACTCGCGATTAAGAAACACCCTATGTGAGTGCTATGTTGAATTAATCACATCAAAATGCACCACTTTGTGTGTATGCCTTACCTTCAGTACCAGGTTTTACCCATGTCCTTAAATCCAGAGTGTGTGGTGTGTTCATGAGTAAAGAGGCGGCATCCTCAAGACCGAGGGCTTTGGCCCGGCGAGCCTTTGTCAGCTTGCTGCCTTTCTTATAGGGAGAATACTACAGACACACACAGAACCAGTGAACTGAGATGAGTGGTAAAGAGAAGCGTATAATCAGGTTTCCAAAAATAAGAATGGAAATAAGAATTAGATCTCCAAATTACATTTCAAAGGACACATATTGCTTTGGAATAATAATGTGATTCTGACCACATGATCCAGTTCATCAGCTGATTGGCAGCTCCTCATGTTTTGTTCCAGCTCGACTGTTAAAACCCCGTCTTTCTTCAGGGTCTGAATCACAGACTGGGTCTTCTTGGAAAGAGTGCTGAACACAAACATACAAATAAAAAAAGATGATAATACAGTGCAAAATAATAACACAGAGAGTAACACACATGCCAGTGATACACAGGTATGATACCGTTTCATGACCCAAAGCTTGAGCAATAGCACCATCTAGTGGCCAATTTAAAATCTGCTGTCCGGAAATGAATTAAATCCTCAGCTCATATGAGAAGACATCTCATGGTAACAGCTGTATGAAACTCTGTACTTAAATTGCTTCTACATACCAATAATGAGTGTTTGTCAGATAATGAGGTGCATTAGTTTCCTTGTTTTTATTGCTTAGTTCAAGACGTTTTATCTGCTTACCTTAACTCTTCATATACCAGCTGGACGTCTCGGACAGCGTCAGCATCCATGTGATTGATCATATCTTTGCGGTAGCGGACCATGAACGGCACCGTGTTCTCCTCACGAAGCAGCCCGATGATATTTGCACACACCCGCCACTCCACACATGTCCGGGTGGACAGCACCTGGGGGAAAGGACACATGCGGATATTCAAAAAGTTCCTATACAGTATATACAAAGAAGTTCGCAAGTAGAATCAATTTAATAATAGTCTAAATAAACTGTCCATTGTTTATATATTGGAGCCAATAGCTTTGGGTGCATATATAGCAGAAATTAGAGCGTAAGTAACATCAACGAACTACCAATAAACATACACTTACAACGGGTGTATAACTCACTGAATGGATAGCTGCTTAGGGCCCATTTTAGGCAAATTGGTCGCTGCTGATATTTATCATCGTTTCCCATTCTTGTGTGTACACAGGCCAGTGTTAAGACTCCATCAACAGCAACAGTGTTGATATGTGGCTAACTGTCCTGTTAGTAACAGTGTATTTTGTACAGATTCTGCGGAAAGCAGAGAGCATTCTGGCCTCTCCAGGTCATGTTCTTGCAGATTAATTTGGTCTGTTGCCATCAGGGCGTAGATATGCTCTACCTGCTCTTAAGACTAATCGCTTTGCAAAATCATTCACCCCTTCTGCACTCAAACTTTTAAATTCTTGAAAGGCTTTTAACTTGATTATTTCTTTATTTATTATTGTGATGCTATGAACTATTTATCGTGTAAATTGGAATGATCCACATCTGTGCTCCCGGGTGTATCTGTGTGTTTTCTTCCTGTATGTTCCTGCCTATGTACATGACATAAGCTGCTCATAACCAATTGCCCATTGCGGGATTAATAAAGTTGTTGATTGATTGATTAGTGTGTCCTTTTAACTGAGTTTGTTACGTTTTGCGAACATAGGTAGAAATATGGATGAGCACTGGTGTTTTGTTAGCCAGTCACTGCTTCCACCATCTGACCAAAATATAAAACACTTTCTAATTAATAAAAATACAAAGACAAACCCTACATTACCTCTATGAAGTCCCAGTTCATATTGAGTTCATTCCTCAGAGTGTTTGCTGTGGACGATGGTAAAGCACTTGGTTGTCCCAGGAAGGCACCACCGGTCTTCTGTTTCTTTAGACAAGGCTCATCAAACGTGAAATCCTCCACTTCCTCTTTCTTTGCTATAAATCCAGCGAGTGATGTCCCCTCGCCTGCCCACATGTCTGCTTGATTCGCTTCTGACACGATGAATGATACCCTCTGCAAGAAACAAGTAGCACAAGTCATGAAAGAGAGCATTGCAGTATTTTGGTGTTGCAAAGAGAATAAAACCTCATAATAATTATATAATGGGTATCTTACCTCTTTCTTCATTTTGGTACTTGGCCCACAGTCTGTATGTTTTTCTTCTTTCTTTTCTGCAGCCTTGTCATCATTTTTGCCTTCATCAATATTTTTCCTTTTTGTTCCAGCCAACACAGATGTCCTGGAACCCTTCACAACTTTCGAGGCCTGTGTTTTTCGCTCTGCTGCAGTTTTACGTGGTGCTCTTGGCTTAGGAACTTTAGGCTCTTTAGGAGGTTTAGGTTGTTTGGGTGCTTTTGGCTCCTTAGGTTTAGCAGTTCTCTTGGGAGCTGCTTTCTTCTCCCCGGGTACTGCAGGAGCTCGGGCCGTAGTAGTGGGAGCTTTAAGTTTTGGCTCTGCTGGTGTCCATTCATCACTATCCTCCTCACTTATCAGTATGGTGGAAATGGACCTGAAGTACAAAAAGAGAAATGTGGAACAAGTGGCAAATCATTAAATATGTTCCCTGGGTTTACCTGCTCATCTCCAACGTTATAAATACAGGCTAGTGTCTCTAATGGATTACATTTTCTATTTTTCTTTACAATGCTGATATGACTATCAGTTAACATCATCATCTCCAAAAAAAACAGCAAAGATAAACCCCAACGTAAACCTGAGGCTGTGACAATGAACATCAATATGCCGTTTTTGCAGAAACGCGTTGTGAAATGATTTTAAAATGACTTACGCGTCGGAATCCTCAGTGTTCTCAACAACTTTGGCAGTTGTTGTCCGAGGTCTTCGCATCATCTGTTGAAAAATTGTTTTAATAAGTTAGCGTTACATCAAAGCTGAACCATCTCACATATGTATTTATTATTACAATAAACAGAATTTATTCCACTGTACAGTATTTAATTCAGCATTCTAAGTTTAGCTCAATTTTATGTTTTACGGGTACTGCAGGAGCTCGGGCCGTAGTAGTGGGAGCTTTAAGTTTTGGCTCTGCTGGTGTCCATTCATCTCTATCCTCATCACTTATCAGTATGGTGGAAATGGACCTGAAGTACAAAAAGAGAAATGTGGAACAAGTGGCAAATCATTAAATATTTTCCCAGGGTTTACCTGCTCATCTCCAACGTTATAAATACAGGCTAGTGTCTCTAATGGATTACATTTTCTATTTTTCTTTACAATGCTGGTATGACTATCAGTTAACATCATCATCTCCAAAAAAAAACAGCAAAGATAAACCCCAACGTAAACCTGAGGCTGAACATCAATATGCCGTTTTTGCAGAAACGCGTTGTGAAATGATTGAAAAATGACTTACAAGTCGGAATCCTCAGTGTTCTCAACAACTTTGGCAGTTGTTGTCCGAGGTCTTCGCATCATCTGTTGAAAAATGGTTTTAATAAGTTAGCGTTACATCAAAGCTGAACCATCTCACATATGTATTTATTATTACAATAAACAGAATTTATTCCACTGTACAGTATTTAATTCAGCATTCTAAGTTTAGCTCAATTTTATGTTTTACATGTATAAAACCCATTTCTCCTGCACTACTTGTACATTAGTTTTGCAATATTTTCTTGCATTATTGTATTTCTATTGTGTTATTTCTTGCACCAATTGTGTTGTTTTTTTAAATGTATTTTACTTATTATATATTTATGTGGCATTGTTGGAGGAGACTGGGACTTTCATTGCCATTACAACACTGGAGCTACTGTGCTTATGGCAATAAAGCCTTTGAATCTTGAACCGTTAGATTCTTAAGCTAACGCTAACTAACGAAGTAACGTCAACGTTAAATAGAAAATAACATAGAAAATAACCTTAAATTGTGGTCAGTCAGTTGGAAAAACGCTAAGTTATCCGAGGTAAAAGTTAAGCTAGCTATATGTCGACACACAGCAATGACAAACAGAGAGTATACATCTATCTGTGCTTACTTTAGCAGCGACATTAAATGTACTCAAGCTGACATTAACTTGTAGAAGTTTGCTAGCTATAACAAACATGGTTAGCTGAGCTCTAATTTCAAATTTGGCGCTCCGCATTAACACGGTTCGCTGGATAAATGACACAATGTGGCATGTACATGTATGACAATATCTTCCCACAGAAAATAATAAGTAAGAGACACGTTTTACTTTCATACCTTTTAAAAGGCTTAAGATATTTGTGTGTATTCCGTCAAAAAGCTTGTCAACTTTGTCATCCTGCAAGATCCTTCTTCTTCTTCTTCTTTGGTGTTTATGGGCGGTTGACAAACCAACTTGTAGGTGCATTACCGCCACCAACTGGACTGGAGTGTGGACAAGAGACTATGCAGAAAACCATAGATATATATATCTCATGGATGTATAATAAGAACAGAAAACAATATCCTGCAAGATCCTGCAAGATCCAAAAAAAGATCCAGACGTTTTAAAGGGCAAACACCGTCACTACAGACCCCTCTACCGCCCCCAGTGGACTGGAGGATACTGCAGTGGATTTGATTTCAGACCATCCCAAAAGATAAACAAATGTTTGCATCCATTGCCCAATGTGTGTGTGGTTACGCTACTACAGTCTGCTTTTAACACTCTTATTTATTTATTTATGTATGTGTCTATTTTTTACTGCAGTGAGAGTTGCCAAAGAAATGTCGTTGTATCTTGTATGACAATAAAGATATCTTCTATTCTATTCTAAATCTAAGTATTTCCAACTGATTTTTTTTTTAAGTCAAGTCCTTTTTATTAATTGGTCATTTTGGACGTGTTTGGTGTCTGCTTTATATCAGTGTTAACCTATTAACCAAGTCTCCCTCTTATGCAATCCGTGTATCGACCGTCCATTTGTTTTTCTTTATTACACAAGTAAGCGGAAGAGCGTCTGAGAGGCCTTCTTGCTTTTTGCTTTTACCCATAGTTTTTACCTTACTAAGGCCCAATCCCAAACCGCCCCCTACACCCTACCCCTACACACTACCCCTCCGTTTGCGCGTTCGCGCGGAGGGTCCGCCACATTAAGTGCTGTTCCAAACCAACGAGTGTGGAGCGGTGTGGAGGGGGAGTGGACTATCAAGCCCTCAAACAGCGAGTCTGCATCGGTGCTGATTTGAGACCGGTCTCTACCTGACCGGAGTCACGCTGTGTGTGTCCGTCAGGAAACACGCTGTTTACAAGTAGTTCCAGCAAACATCCACTGATAAATTGCGATGTTAACAACCTCATGATAACCTCATATTTTTTTTAACTTAGGATCATACCTGTGTTTAGTCTAGAAAAAGGTAAATGTGTGCATTTTATTATAAAGTTGTGTATATTTACAGACTGTTGCAAAAACTAAGAAGCTTATAAAAATCAGGTTTAAAACAAAAAAAACTTTACAAAAAAGTAACACAATGAAAGATGTTTGGAGTTTTATTTGAGTTATTCATTTACATTTTTTGTCTAAGAGATGCTGATTTGAAACCGTTGTTACATACAGTTACGGCATTTCCTGTTTCTGCCGGAGAGAGGGGAGTTTGTCCCAAAGCTTGCCACTGTATTTACTCCCTCCATCTGACAGGAGGGAGCCTCATTCAGCTGCGAGTGTGGCTACAGACGGAGTTCACTCCGCCACGGAGGGGTAGGGTCGAGGGAGTGGTTTGGGATTGGGCCACAATGGTAAAATGGTCATTGGAGCAAGGGGCGGGGCGAAACTCACGGAAGTAATTAGCGATCACAACGAAAACAGCCAAGACACATTTTGAGCCCAGAAAAATAATGTTATTAAGGGCCACAATGCTGTAGCTCAAAAGAAAAAGAAGAACAAAAAGAAAAATCAACCAATCAATGTTTATTTATATAGCCCCATATCACAAATGTTACATTTGTCTCAGTGGACTTCACACTTTGTACAGAATATCAGTATGACAATACGACACCCTCAGTCCTTAGACCCTCACATCGTACAAGGAAAAACTTCCGGAGAAAACCCACAGTTTAAAGGGGAAAATGGGAGAAACCTCAGGGAGAGCAACAGAGGAGGGATCCCTCTCCCAGGACGGACAGACGTGCAATAGATGCCGTGTGTAAATTGAAAAGATAATACATTTGCAACATAGGTAGTCCAAATGTTTAGAAATGCATGTGTCGAAAAAACAAGAAGATACACTTTTATTAATGTATTATTAATTTTAAATTGAAAACATATTTCTACACCTCATAATAGCATAATAATATGAGGACACAAACACTTATAACACTGATATAGTAATTTATTAACTAATACATAATGTACAATGGTACAGGAATCCTGTATTCCTTTATCTCAGAGATAATCTGTTTCATAATCGTTACTGTGCTATTAGTATCAAATTATAACAACGGTTTAGTTAAATACACATTTAAACCATATCAAGATACATGAAAGCATTGTAAACATCTAAACCGGCTATTTCAATATTGTCAGATATCTTTATCCTCTACCCCTGGTAACAGATGATGCGTCACCAGGAACCAATCAGAAATTCAGTTTGAATAAAATCCAGTCAGACTTCTTGGTTATTCAGGTTGTCAGTGTTGGTTTTCCCCGCTTGTTGCTTTCAGTTCCTTTTTTCTGTACGCAGTATTAAAGGTAAGAACTCTTTGATTTCTGTCATTGATATTAGTGAAACAGCTTGGAACTTGACCTTACTTAAGGTATTATTTATGTGCGTGTGTTTACTGTAAGTGTATGTTTTTAAGCAACATCCTATTCTTTGTGTTAAAAAATATGGGGATATGTTTGTGTGTGTTTACAGATTTGTGTTTGTGTGAGGATGCCGAACTCTGAGATCCAAAACCAGCCTCTTCTGCCAGCCCCCACCCAGCAGGCCGAGATCAATGGACAGGGGTAAGCATTTATATGTACCTGTTTTTCTATCTTCATGGGGTCCAAACACTACCAAGGGACCAAAAAGCTGGTCCCCACAAAGTAAACTATTTATTGTTATTCTTTTCTCGATACTTCCATACCATAGGTGTTGTGTTATATACTCACAAAGATAGAACAACTATTGAGTGACTAAGAAAAATGATAGTAAGTAATATTGCCTTCAACAATGTCAGAAGCTTAAAGGTGGGGTTTGCTATCGTTGGCCAAGTACCAAACGATAGCAATGAATATCTTAAGTGCTTTGACAACAAATCCATAAATAAATGTCATCTGTGGAAGCCATAGTACTGTAAAAAGCACGACGAATCATTTTAGCCGGCCCGGTTAAAATAACTGGATGGCCTACCTGCCTGTCAGCCTTCCATCGAGGGGCTCTGTAAGGAAGTGGCAGATTTTTTCTGGCTGTGTATTTTCAAATTCTAGCGCACTTGAGCTGGTTTCTCCAAAATTACCACCCCACCTTTAATTGAACTAAAGTTTAAACTGTTTGGACCAAACCATAACAGTGAGTGGTGTTTTGACGCATTTACTATAAAAAATGTATTATTTTATTTACAGATGTGTAAATAACAGCGCTCTCCTTCAAATTTTAATGTATATTTTCTATCCTCCAATCAGTTATTGATTTTTTTTTGTCCTAATTTAACTTAATTAGCAGGCTCTTGAAAGTTGGTTAATTAGTGTAATACATGCATTGATCATGTAGAGTAGACAGACTTGTCTAATATGTTAGCGTTTACAAAAACATTACCAAACAATACACATAGCCTATCAGTTAGATTTGAAAGCAGACTCAAAGAGGACATGGCATTTAAAGTAATGGGAATTTCCAAAAAAGGCATTGGTGTGAGCTTAAAAAAAGAGAAACGGCAGATACAGAAACATGCACTCAACTGTCTGCTTGGCAACAGCTGATGTAATGTTTAAGGTATGGCAGAGGTTCCTGTTTCAGGTTCTGTGATTGTCTTCATTGTTCCTGATTCTTAGCATTCTCCTTCACTTCGTCACTTTTCCTATCTCTTCTAACTGTCTCTCTTCCACCGATCTCTTTGTCAGTAACATAAAATACCAGTATTTCCCCTTTTTTGAAATGTAATCTTAAAGGGGACCTATCATGCAAAATGCACTTTTGTACGTCTTTTATACATGAATATGTGTCCCCGGTGTTCCAGGGAACTCACCAAGTGTCAGAAAACACAACCCTCTCTCTTTTCCTCCATACCCAAATCTCTAAAAACGGGGCTGCAACGGATCTGATACAGACTGATCCAGATTTGAACATTTCTCTGACCAGGACGGAGGAGCTGACCTATCAGGGGAATGAGAGGTTGCCGTGGCATGGTAACAGCATGGTAACACGACGCTCGTAACTCGGCCCCCTCCTTTGCAGGGGGGCGTGGTCAGCTGCAGCCATGCAAAGACAGGGTGGAGGAGAGCAAAATAGAGCGAAATGAGGCATGGCTAAAATGCATGATCTGTTTGGTATTTTGAAAAAGAAAACGTATAAATAAAATATACCTTATATAGGTATGGCCCTACAATATATTATTCAAATATAGCATGATAGGTCCACTTTAAAGTCATTATCAGGGAAATGTTAGAAACTTTTACATGTCACTTTTTCTAACCAAATAAAAAATGTATTCCCTCTCCACTTCCCTCACCTTTTCCCTCATATTTTCCTTCGTGCATTCCAGTGTCCGCCCCTCCCGAGCCTATAAGGTGGCCGGTTTGACCCTGTTGGCCTGCATCCTGATTGTGGGCCAGGCGACGATCGCCTACTTCCTCTTCAGTCAGCAGGGTGACATCAAGTCTCTGAAGGTGCAGAATGAAAACCTGAACTCAAAACTGAGTAATGAAAGATCTGGTGAGGAAAATCTAAAGAAACTTTACTTAGCAGAATGTATTATGTCTTGTGAGCAACCAAATAATATGATGGAGAAAAAAAGTGTAACATTTATCTAAAATCCCTAGTGCCTTCTATTAAAACTCACCGTGCTCTAAAGTTAAAAGTCAATTGAACAATTTGTGGCTCTGACAGTGAGTTGCTGAGACTTTCTTAAAGTTGCATGTGCCTCTGAAGAAAAAAACACAAAAATGTATGAATTTACAAAAACAAAATACATGTTATCATTGTCCTTTGTCTTCTAAATATGGACAGTATAGTGGTTCAAGCTGGTTATCTTTGGCTTGAAATGTAAACATGAATGATACCCAGTTTCCATTCATCTCTATAGGGTCTTACTTAAATGTAACATGCACTGTTTCTCTTTCTGTCTGCAGTTGCTGGGTCTGTGCGGATGCACATCCCCATGAACGCCTTTCCCAAACTGATGGATCTGACCACTGAGGAGGTAAAAAAAATGAAAAAAAGAGAAGCCATTTCATGAGGTTGGCGACTGATATTTTTTTTTTTGATAAACATTACCAAACAATTCTGATATGGAGCCTTTCGATTTGTTTTGTCAAGCAGGACACTGAAAATAGACTTCTCAGTGCAATCAGATGAATCTGTGGTGTTTTTCTATAGCACTGTTTTGTTAGGCATCTTACACGATGACAATTATGATATTATGATACGATATCTAGACAAATATGCTGAATTTTATTAGCTAATTCCATACAATAAACCTTAGCCATTTCATCAGTGGGCCTGAACATGCAAGTATATTTTATTAAACATATGGTTTGATTTAAAAATTACAGTGACTCTTATGTTTTTGTATTGTTTCTCAATTTCCTTCCCTGATCTTATTGCAGGACTCCACCGAAGTCCATGAAAAGAAAGGTATGTTCTGTTTGTATTCACTTTGTATAAATAGTGTATGATATAGTAAATAGGGATACAGTCTATGGTGTATTTATCTCCACATTAGAAGACAATGATTACATGTGCTTATAGTTACATTACCTCCTCTCCATCCTCTCCCAGTCCCTCGTGAGGCCACTCAGTGCCACTTGGAGGCGGCAGGTGTGAAACCTGTTGAGGTTCCAGGTTTCCATCCGGATTGTGACGAGCGCGGCCTCTACCGTGCGCAGCAGTGCTTTCTGGGGAGATGCTGGTGTGTGGACACGGCTACTGGTCAAGAGATCTCTGGATCTCTGACCAATGGACTGGCCAACTGCGGTGCACCGGTCTTCACTGGTGAGACAAGATAACTGCTCTTGAAGTCAGATTGAGAGTAGAGGTTTTCTTTGGTCACTTGACTCACCTAAGGAATCATTTATGTGAAATTTTGAGACAGAGTTTTATTTTGTATTCTCGTTTTTTGCTCATTTATGAAGTAGTTTGAATAAATAACCTGTTTGTGAGTCATTTTACACCAATATGAGAGCTTGTATTCATGGAAAATAAGGTCAATTCCACTCTGGCACAAAAAACTAATCACTCGCACCAAACAATACGTTTTCTCCATATTGCATATTGTAGATTTAAAATTGCCGTTGTGTTTTAATTTTATTATAAATCATATCAGTCCTGCTTGTTTGTTTATAGTTAGTAGGTTCATCTCAAAAGCTCAGAATTTTAGAGAAGTTAGGTTAGGCAACATATCAGTTAAATCCTTATAATTATCATTTCAAATGAAATATTGCACTTAATTAGGAAAAAACCATATGTTTTTTATTGTGATCCAGATCTGGATGTAGATTTAAAACATCCAAATATTTGTAATTATTATAAGTGTTATCTCTGTATACTGACTTTAGCTACAAAGTAATTGACACACAAGTTTTCTCTCGTTGCAGGCAGCAGGGGCAGAATGATGCGTATGCCCGATGTAGCTCCCTGATCCTGAGGTGAGTTCACATACGGTGCCCCACATTCTGCATTAATATACGTTATATCTGTGAACAGTACTGTATTTAGAATGTGATTAATCAGTATACCTATCTTTGCAAAAGTTTCAATGCTGTTTAATTCAGTCCAATCAAGAACTGTTTTTTTCCGACCTTGAATATTTAAATACTTTTAGATAGGGGTTTATTTAAAGGAACATGACTTGGTATTATTGGTCAATCTTAAATTGAACTGTATTTGTTTATTATGTTTCTCTTTCCTGGGTAACTGAAGCTGATGAAATCTCCTCCCGAGATGAGCGACAGTTCAACTCCAAATCAAGACAATTTGACATCTCTATCCACTTTTAATCACCATCATAGCTGTAGTACTTGATAAGCTAATTGTGTGTTATGTATTGCTTAAAAAATAATTATAACCATGTATCTGCTTGCTATCATCTAACCCAGGGGTGTCAAACTCAAGGCCCGGGGGCCAAATCCGGCCCGCAGCCTCATTTTATGTGGCCCTGCAAGACCTTGCAAAGAATATAATATGTTTATTATACGGTTACATGGGGATTTACAGAAGCACGTTGCCCATAAACTACATGTCCCACAATGCATCTGAAATTTGACTTTTGTCTTAGAATTTGACTTTTTCTCAGAATTAGATTTTTTTTTTTTAAATGTTAGTTTTTTTTTTAAATGTAATTTATTTTTCAAAATGTCACTTATTTTTTTGTTTTTCCAGAATGTGGCGTTTCTTTTTAAATCATTTTGTGACACTCTCACTGAAGAGACTTGCAATTATTTGCCCTAGACTTCTGCTTTCAGACGTAGTTAATTATTAAGTTATTAGCCTATCCGATAATAATCCAATGCAGAGGCATTCATGTAATACAATACATTATTTTCTATACATTAAATATATGTATTTTTATATAGTTTTAAAGTTACAACCGGCCCTTTGAGTGCAATCATAATGCTGATGAAGCCTGCGATGACATTTAGTTTGACACCCCTGATCTAACCAGTTTTTTTGCAACTCAGCTACAGCCAATATTATATTGACTTTTGCTATTGATTGCACATTATGTTTTTTTAAATGACTTATAAAGGTTAAGGATTTTAATAAGCGTTATATTTTGGAAGATATAAATGTTGTTTTAGTCAGATTTTGTTCCATTTTGGTTTAAAAGTTTGTAAAGACATTTTTAATATGTATTTTTTTATTTTCAGATTACAATCCTTGTCACTTGGATCTTGAACGTTTGGCCAAAGTAATTAAATTGTTATTACAAATATTGACACTCTTTAGGGCTATTAAAAACAAGGAATACTCAACTTATGAGACGATTGTAAACTGTATTCTCCCCATTTATTTGAACAAACGAAATAAAAGTCTTTAAGATAAATTCTGTTGTTTTCTTTTACAATATAACAAAGGAATTTCAAACTGAGTGAAAACCCATGACAAATAGACAAGACACTGAGGTTAGTCAGTGAAATAAAGCACCATCAGTTGACCTGTTATATTGTATTTTCCAAAACATATCAAATGTTGGCAAGAGAAAACATGCAAAAAGGTAACATACAAGAAATGAAGTAACATGCAATACAATGAAAGCTACATAATGATTGTCAATAGGCACATTTTGTTTCTGTGTTCCAGTTATGAATATAGTCAACTTAGTTTTTCGAATACTTACAAATGACTTGTTTGTGTATTACTGGCCTGACTTATTTGGTTGTTGGTTACATAAGCATCGTGTGTTCACTTAAACAGCAGCAAACAGTACCTGGGGTCATGTGAAAAAAAACATCTCTTATTGGTTGGTTTAATGATGAATGAACAAAACCTTTTACATTTGTAGGTTAATCACCCAAGTGAAATAACACAATTAAGATTCCAGTTACTGTTAAGGTGGTCTCTAGACTATTGACTAGCAACAGCAGCTGTGTTTATGGATGTGCATAATAGTTCCCACTTCCTTAAAACAACTTTCAAACTTATCTAAACCACAAGCAAACACCACATTTGAGTAAACATGTCATTATAACTTTGACAGGTTTCGATTTTTCTTGGACAAAAAACAAAATCATTGTTTTTTTATGAAACACAATGTAACAAAATTCCCAATTTTTTAATTAATTGCAAAAGATCAACTAGTTTCCAGCATATGAAATAGTCTGCCAAACTCTATCAAGAAAGGCTATTGCACACATGGCATGAGATGAAAATATCAAGTCCAGACCAAAGTAGGCACAATATATATGTTACATAAAATACTTTAGCAAACATTTCCTGCTTTGTTAAAACCCTCAAGTGCAATAACAACTACATCTTTGAACACCAATTTAACTTTGGCATACATTTGTATCTAAATATTGTAAGTACAGGAAGAAATCTGACCTTTTTACGCAGTGCAAGGTGGAAAATATATAGAGAAAGAAAAAGTTATTTTATAACGGAGCGTGCCATTTTTGGAGTCTAAAGTATTTTGTTCATAAACCTCTCCAAACGATTAGGACTATTGTTTAAAACATTTTGAACTAGAACAATATGGAGAGGTGTTATGTCCATGAAAAGACAAAAGGTTTTGACAAGTTAACACTAAAGAGCAGCACTTTTAAATGCTCTATCATGCCTGAGTAAAGATATGCAAATTAGTATTGACTGATATAAAAGATATCTGCCCACTAGAGGGCGAAAGAGGACATAAAATACACATGGGGTGGAGAAAGGGTGGAGGACCGAATTCAGCTATAGCAGTTGATATGATTCCCTTATATTTACATTTTAATTATGGACCATATTAGAGGGAAAAATGGGGTCTCCTGCTTAAATTAACTGAATTGAAACCCTTTTCACACGCTTCTTATATGCTCAATCTATTACAGAATGTATGTCAGTCATCTATTCTCCATACTCAAGTACCTTAACAAGAGTTCAGATCAACTGAATCAGAAGAGTTATTAAAATAATCCCCATACTCTATAAATTGGCTTACTACTATAACATTTTACTATTCAATCATCCTTGTGGAAGGTGGAAAAAAATAACTATTGAAGAATTCGTAACTTTTGAAATATATATCTGTTCCCGTATGTGGCTCAAAGAACACCCTCTGCTTGTAGATGTCTCTTCTCCTGCTCTTCTTAGTTGTATTCCTCTCTTATTATTTGCTTCCTCCTTTTAGTTTGCTTATGTAGTCTCTGACGGTGGTTTCAATGTTGGGAACGGCATAATTTTGTGCTGCAAATATTCCTGTGCACGTCCCAACGGCAACACCAAACAACGGTGAAGAGCGTAGCCTTGCAACAACGTACCCGGCCAGAAAACCCTTCAGGAAAGGAGAGGCCAGCAGACTGCCTCCCTAGGGGAAAAGGAGAAGAGAGATTAGACCTGGTACTAGGTAGTCAGACCTGTGGTGTAATCTCTAATTCTAGATACTGTTTATGTTGTATATAACTGCCTGACCTGTGAGCAAAATGTAAGGCAGAGTAACCTGGGCATGTAAATGTCTGTGTGAGCCTTACCGGAGGGACACCAGCCTGTATCTCATCCTCCATCCGTCTCTGAATGTCTTCCAGCTGGTCCTTCAGCTCCACCAGGTCCTTGAGCTGGCCCAGAGGACCCTGCACACACAGACACAAACAAAAAGGTTACATTTTGTTGACAAGTGGATCCTAAAACATAGACATTTAGATTTGATTGTATATTTTCAAAGACATACATAACAGGAAAAACAGCAACACAAGGACAAGGACAAGGCTCAAACACATACAAAACACAACATAGTTTACTTGAAAGCAACTTGATATTACTATCAAAGAATTAAGCACAGATCTATGACTTATCAAAACCAGTAGGCCTATATTAGATTTATGTCGTTTTCTAGTGTATGAGGTTTTCCTGATCATTCACTCATTCACAATTCTATCATTTAAGTAACGTTGATTGATTTACCTCCATAGCAAGTAAGGCTAACGTTAGCAACAATATATAAATACATATATAGCTACTTTAGCGATATATTTACATTAGCAGTTAGACATTGCTTCATTCTTTCTTTTAATACAACAACGTATTAAGTTTCATGTGTTTACGACACTGTGAATATGTTTAAAACACACATCTGATATATCTGGCGTTCGCATAATTATATCCATATAGCTAGTTTACACAACTAGCCAAATACTTAGCATTTGGGTAAATGCTAACTAAGCTAAGCTAACCAACACCAGTTACAAACTGTTCTACGTCACAAGCTAGCATTAGCAGCTAACGTTAATGTATGACTGCTGAATGACACTGTAAGTTAGGCAGTTTAAGATAATAATATATTGACACGAAAGAAAAGTTAGAAAGTTTAAAACTCCGACCTTGTCATCTGCCATGTTCCACTGTCAGATGATACCAGTCTTCTTCTATTTGTTTTGCTGCTGCTCTGTTGAAAATGAATCATACTGCCCTCCACTGGATACTCATAAACATTAACCATTACCATTACACTTTCATGATGTAGTAGGCCATACAAATAAAATAATATTGTATGTGTGGAATACTGTGTCAGCATTATGATAATAGGATGAGCTTTCAAAATGTGTTTCCACAGTTAAAACCAGAGTGGACCATAGTTGTTATGTATATTAAGAAAGTATGTAAATGATCAGAAATAAGAAATAAGAATTCCTTTATTAGTCCAACAGCGGTAAAATGTAGTGTTACAGCAAAAGTGGCATAGCAAATGCAAAAGGCAAGCAATAATAAAGAGTAAGCTAACTTATTAAATATAGAGAAGAAAGGCACACATAATACAATTAAAATAAAGCCAAATTAGTTCACAACCATGGCTAAAAATGTGTAGCATAAGCAACATATTAAGGTAAAATATGATACATAAGTAAATATGCTTAACAAAGCACATCCTGCAACACTGGCAGTTTTCTCACATCCATCCACTCATGATTAAACTGTTAGTAATCTCACACATTGCAGTAACATGCTACATATATAAATCCAACACTTTTTCAATTCAATCTAATTCAAAGTGGCTTGTAAATATAGGAAACAAAGTTGCCAAAGCATCAAAATACAAATGTACAAATATATGAATATTACCACATACAAGCCCCCATATATTCTGAATCCTAGCTGACAGAGGAAGATGAGAAGAAACAATCCAATTAACTCTTGTTTCTTCTGCAATCTAAGTCTTGTACTTACTGCTGCTGGAGAGTCTGCATGAGAGAGCACAGCTGATGAGACCCTCAGAGAGCGGGAGGAAAAAGTGTGAGAGAGAATTGAAGTAAATAATTAGAGGGACTGAAGAGTGACATTTCAAGGAAGGAATAAGATACTCATTAATCAGAGCTGAAAATGTGCACTATTTTGTAACCATCACTGCAATAACCCACTCCCTTAAAAATGAAGAAAGATTGTAAGGAAGCAAGTATGTGTTTTCTGTAAACATAGAATGACACAATTTTACTGATTAAATGGACTGAGATGCAATTACCTCTTGTTTAATGGTCGCATAAAAAAGTGTGATTCGCAGAGTGTGTGAACGTGAGACAAATGTCAAAGCTTGGAGAGACAGGAGGCATGCTTAGAAATATGGATAAAGAAAGTATTTAGCATAGTTCAAAAGAGGGATTGCCATATATAAGAAAGCTATAGAAAGAAACAGAAACAAAATGCAAGAGAAAACTCTACTTTGGCTCATTTTGAAAGATTGTTGAGACATAATTGACACTTCTTGGTTGTTTCTTCTGCAGCACTTTGATTTTCTGAAGAGCCTGAAAGTATTTAATCTTCACATTCAGCTGCAGGATAGGTCGTCTATTAACCTTTCATTATTAGGGATTTTCACAGAACCAACCTGATATTTTCACCACATATTTTAATGGTCTGTTCAGGGTGGGATAAAACAGTCTTTTGCAGTTGCATGAGATGAAACACCGCTCACACAGCAGGCGTTTTAGAGCAGGAGGAAGCGATGGAGGTAAGGCGTCTGATCTACAAAGCTGTTGACAGTTTAGGGGATTTATTGAATTTGGCTGAGGCACATTTGGCTGACTAATCTGTGGATGCCACTGTTGAAGAAAGGTCATTATAGCTGGTGCTGCAATCAACACAGCAATGTGATGTTAGGAAATGTGTGTTCATATACCATTAAGGGAAAGATGTTTATGATTAGATTGTCGACTTGCGTTAAGAAAAAGGATAACTATAACAGTACTTGAAATAAACAGTGAAATTGTTGATTAAATGAAGCAAAAACAATACATAATTTTGACTTTTATAGCTCTGTGACTAAAGCTTCATGTATTATTAAACAAGCCCAAAATCATCTCATATATAATGAAATGGATTCGTAATGCTCAAAGCAGTAATTACAAGACTTGTTTGGGAAGAAATATATTTTATAATCAAAGCCCCTCTGCACATCAGCTTCAGGACATAAAGGCAGTCTGCTTGGAAGATGTTGAGGAATAAAATCAAACTTTACTTTATAATGAGTGCACTGAGTTCATCTCACTGTACTATAAATATGAGTTTGGTTTTTACAGGCAGTAAAGCAGCTAAGTAGGCGTCACAAGACACTCGTTCTCCACACTACCCCATTAAAATAGTTTTGCCATTTTGTTTTTCTATGTAATATAAATGGAATACAACTTAATGTCATTCATCGTGCATCCGTGTGTTGACAATAAATACACTTTGAACATTGGAGAAGACACTCTCGATTAACAGAGCATTTAAGTAGGTGGTTTTGAAAAGCATCCTTGAGTATGATATGAGTAATAGTTATTCTATTCAGCTTCAGCAGAAATACTGTAGTTAGATGGGCTGTTAACTCCTTTTGAATACTGAAAACAAAGTATATTGACTGATCATTTCCCAATTGAATTTGAATGTGACTAGCTTTCTCAAGAGGTCCAAGATGTGCGGTTTGTTTCTTTCTCATTTAACAAAATAATAGTGATAACAAATTATACCTTACGTTTCACAACCCCATATGATAAGAATTACACTTACCCAGAATTCATAATGTACTTATAATATGTGAGCCTAAAGAGGAAAAGAGGCATACTGTAAAAAATGCAACTGATATGTTGTTGTAAATATTATTGATAATTGTTTTATTACCTGGTGTGTAAACAAACTGCCCCCCTGTTTCCACTTGTGTCAAAAGCACTGAATTATAGTTTCATAACCTGTGCCCTGCCTCAGGAGAGCTGCAGCTTCTACACAATGCATTGCAATGTGTGTGTAAAGGATGTATAGATTGTATACATTGTGCTTCTGGTTTTAATGTGCTTCACTGTATATTATTTATTATAAAACTTATTTCTGATATAAAAGCTCTTCACAAATCAAAATGTAAACCCTGCCAGAAGATGTGATGCACGGCTTAGATGTGAAAGGCTTTTAGAGTGGCTCAATGTTTATGTGCACTGAGTTGGCTCGTTCTCTCATTAACCGTTCAGTATTCAGCGGGCGTTTCCTCCGATGGCCGCGGATACAGTGCACTCAGCTGGCAGACATGTGATTGGACTTTGTTAAAGGACTGTTTGAAAGTGCATGACTCAGCATTGTTGAGACAAAATACGGTGCCACCCAAAAATGATATACAACAAGAAAGGAGGAGCACTGCATTAATTAAAATATTGATTATTAGTCCCATTGAACAGACAAATGAGTAAAGCTAGATAATATTTATCTCCTCCACGAGAGATTTTTCCAGACCGTTGAGATGATAGAATAAAAGGTCACATGTTATTGACTGTTGGGAAATTGATCTTTTATACACTGATTATTTTCAGACTGCATGTTAACTGTAGTGTGGGGTCATTTGTATCGGCAGTTCAGGCTCCCTTCATCCGATAGGAGGAGTCTCAAATCTCTGTATTACATGACTGAAAAAAGACTATAATATTTGCAAAATATGCAAACAAAAACCCTTGAGTATCCAGTTGCTCTGCAGCATGAAGACATATCTGCAAGTAAATAAGCAGCTGATGGTTCAGTATAGTCTATTTTTTAATAAGAAGAATTAGGATATTCAAATGTTTCCGGAAAATGACCCAATGTTTTTGTACTCAGGAAAATAACGTAAATGTGATGTGATTTTATTCAACATGACTGGTGAAATGTTTTGGATTTTCCTCTTACTGCATATATTGGTTAATATAATTGACACATCATTCACATTTTTCATATAATAGTCGCAGTATATTTTATTGCTAGCTGTCAAGGCATGCAATAATAATGGATTATTTCAATTCTTAGTTTGAGTTAAGATGCGCTGGCTGTTTTCCAATAATGATTCCAATATTTAGTGCGTGTGTGTTGTGTGCGTGCGTGTGCGTGCGTGTGTGTGGCTGTGAGGCGTGTGGCGCAGTGGATAGAGCCTTGGTGTTGGGATCAGGGGTTCACAGGTTCAAACCCCACTGCAGTCAGCAAGTCGTTGTGTCTCTGGGCAAGACACTTCACCCCAAATTGCTCCTGTGGGGATTGTCCACAGTATTGAGTATGTGAATCGCTTTGGATAAAAGCATCTAATAAGTAACATGTGTGTGTGTGTGTGCACAGATTCAGGTTATAAGCCAATTAAAGTTTTTAGGCTCTGTTGCTTCCCTGGCAAGCTAAGGTAAGGATAGGTACTGCAGCCTCACTGCACCACTCTGATGAGATGTGCGAAGGTATGACTGTGTGTGTATGACTGTGTGTGTGTGTGTGTGTGCGTGTGTGCGTGCGTGCGTGCGTGCGTGCGTGCGTCTAGTCAGATATTAATATGTGCTGTCAGGGATAGCACACTGTCCACAGGGTCAAAGGAAAGAGCACCACAACCGAATAAGCAAAAGGAAAAGACTACATTGTGCAGTTGGGAGTGGTGGAAAGAAAAAAACAGGAAGAAAGCAGCAACTTTGAAAGAAGGAGAATTTGGCTACATATAGAGGGAGGACAAGAGTGATACAGTTTGAAAGCAGGAGGAGTGGTGGGGCTGAAAGGAGGAGAAAGAATGAGATAAATAGAGAGTGAGAATTTCTTTTTGAGAGAGATGCAAGAATGGATCCAATGACTCTGTTGGCAGGCGGCTTGTTCCACTTATGTCATTTTTGAATAGGAATCAGGATCTCAAATTGGGTTTTGTTGATTCATTTTGGAATGAAAGAAAACAAAAGATAACAACAATAAAATGAATGGAAGTGAATTCAAGAATGTGCAACAAAATGATTAAATAAAATAAAGATTTATTTACATGAACATAAGAAAGTAAAGTAACATTTCAAAATAAGTAATCAAATACAAATGGGGTCTTTCCTTCTGCGTTGACACACCATCAGCTTCAGTCAAACCCTCTCCATCCCCTCTCTTCCTCTCTGTTTCCATACCCCTCCCTTCGTCTCTCTCCTCCTCCTCTTCCTCCCCACTCACACTCCCTCAGCGGGGAAGCCTGA